AGTCCAAATATTAAGAAGAATAAAAATACTAGGGGTGAATCACTTACCGCACCTTCATGCAATTGATCTCCATACACCCTATGAGAATTGATAGTGAAATAGGAGATGACAAATGCTATCATTGTGGTTCCTACTGAAAGGGCATACGGAATCTAGATCCATACCACGTTGTTTCAAAAGAAATGCAATGAGTAAGCGGTCATGTAGGGCCAGGCAAGAAAAAATGTGTACATTAACTAGTTAATGTGTACATAAAATAACATAGTAGGCTATTTAATGAAATCATTGAAAGTAAATATGTGTTTAATTTGCATTATACACAATTAAAATAAACCTAATTAGAAATAAAAATATAAAATAATAAATTGATGATAAATATACCATATGAATTTTCTCAAAAAATGTTTGAACAAACATCACACCTACTTACTACATACCAAAAAAAAATGAGGGGCATTGTGAGATAAATAAAATTTAGTGGGCTAGATTCGTTTCTTTCTTCCTATGGTGACCCTCCTTTATCACCATGGTTAAGCGATGAGAAGATACACTTAGCAATTAAAGACGAGCAGTAAACACAGTAGAACAAGAAGAAATGCAGAGAACAAGAAGACGGGTAGTCAACGCAGAGAATAATAAGAAACGTAGAGTGAGTGAAAGAAGCAAACATAAAATTATCCAAAAAAGAAACTCAAAGTGAGAGAGAAAGCATAGGCACAAAGGAACAAGATGGGCATAAAATCTCAGAGAAGATGAAAAAGGCACAAAATTATCCAAAAAAAAAACTCAAAGTGAGAGAGAGAAGGCATAGGCACAGAGGAACAAGATGGGCACAAAATCTAAGAGAAGATGAAGATGATAGTGGGCATGAAACCCTACTTCAAGTTTTCCAATCATGAATTAAGTTCGGGGATTGAGCCCTACTCTATTTTTGTTTTAAGCTTTTGTTTTAGGGGCTTAAGATTTTGTATTAATTGTGATGATATGGGTCTTTGAGCCCTAATTTGGATGGATTTTTTGGTGGAACTTTGTCAAGCCAAAATTTGGAGATTTTTACTCAAAGGCCTTCTTGATTTTTCATTCTAATTGGTGAGGTGAAATTGTCGTGAGATTGCCATCTTTCAAATTCCTTAATAACAATTAATCTAAGTCTTTTTTCTAAGCTTTTATTTTATGGATTTGAGAATTTTTTTTAGTAATTTGTGATAATCTGGATGGTTTCAAGCATCTTTCATCCCAATTCAAATCAGACTTATAATTCACAAAATTTGACCTTTACAAGATGATTTCCCACAATAACTAGGCAAATATGTATCTATATGTTTAAGCTAAAATAAAAAATATACCTTCAATATGCAATTGTGGCTTTGAAGAGTATGATTTGAGCATAAATGCTAAGACAATGAACCCTAATGATGTACTTGGGAATAAATTTTAAATTTTAGGGAATAATTTTTTTTTTACAAATAATACGTTTTTTAGAAAGTATGAAAATAGAAGATAAGATAAAAGGGGAAATTTTTTTTCATTTTTTTTAAAAAAGTATACAGGTAAAAAAGGCCAAGTTTTTTTACCGTTTTTTTCATAACGATCAATAAGATGCGTTTTGTGAAAAAATCACATACTTTTGCCAATCTTTTAAAAAAAATAGCAAATTTAAAATCTTTCAAAAAAGGAAAAGTTTATATAAGGTTGCAATCTTATAATATAGAGCTATGGATGCACCTCAAAAATCCATTGGAAAAGAAGTTTTAATGTTGAAAACCCTTTGATTGATCATCTCGACATCGAGATGTTTGACCATGAAAAATATAAAGATTTTAAGTCTTAGAAATAGTGCATTTTACAATATATTATCTACACCATACATTTTCAAGATTTTCATATGTTTGTCGATCTATTGGATTTTAACCATTTTTAAAATTTAAAATTTTATAATTAAATATAAAAATAGATTTTGAGATAATACTAAGAACATTTTATATAAAAATTATATATCATGATAAAATTTGAAGGCACACCTTACCTCTACAGCTATGAATGCATCCGTATGCAAGCTGCACCCTTCAAAATAAAAATGTCGTGTTTTTTTTTTAAAAGGTCGTGTTTTTAACGCAGGCTTGCTGACCATTATGCGGTGGTCATGAAATGAATCTTTTCTGAGACCGCCCCTCTATAATGTCCATATAATTTCCTAATGGATTTCCCAATAAAATAAAGTCCTAATGGATTTTCCAATAAAATATAGGGGAGCAGGTTATTCCACACATATAAAATATCCAGTGTCCATTAATGTTGTCTAATAAAATAAAGGGGCGCAGATTATTTCCAAGGGAAGTTTTCTCAATCATTCAAATAGAAATCCCATGGCATCAAATGTAAGATTCCTAATTATTTTATTGCTCTTTATGATAACAAGGATCATGGTATTCATCACTACAACAAAATAAAATAACAGATGTCAATTAAGTCCAATAGAGAGAAGAAGCCATGAGGTGGCAAACACTGTGTGGTGGCCATGGTGACGTTGGGCTGAGTCATAGAGGATACAAGCTGGGGTGTGGACGTCTTGGAAAGCAGTAATGGAGAGAGAGTTGGAAGGTAGTAATGGAGAGAGAGAGGAAATAAAAAACAAAGGAAAAGAGTAAGTTTTTCATTCCTACTGACACAAAGTTTAAAATTTGTGATACTTTCTCTTTTCAAAACTTAAATTTTGAGAGTTTCTCTCTCTAATTTTTTTTTGACATAGTTTCTCTCTTTAAAAATTTCATATATTTTCTCTCTCTAAAATTAGAATAGTTTATCTCTTTAAATTTTAAGATACTTTCTCCCTCTAAAATATAAATTTTTCGATAGTTTCTCTCTCCAAAAATTTTGAAATAGTTTCTATCTCTATTTTTTTTTAGTTTCTCTCTCTAAAATTTGATATAATTTCTATCTCTAAAATGTTAATATATATGCTCTCTCTAAAACTCAAAATTCGATATAGTTTCTCTCTAAAACTCAAACTTTAAGATAGCTTCTCTCTCTAAAAAACTTGAGATATTTCTCTCTCTAACTTTTCTTTTGGCTGTTTTTCCTTAAATTTATAATAATTTCTCTCTAAACGTTTAAGAAAACTTTCTCTCTCTTAAACTTAAGATTTGATATAGTGTCTCTCTTTAAAAAATTTGAGATAGTTTTCATCTCAAACTTTTTAGGTACTCTTTAGAATTTGATATAGTTTTTCTCTGTAAAAAGAAAAATTTAAGATTGTTTATCTATCTAAAATTTTGAAATAGTTTCTCTCTCTAAAAATTTGTGATAGTCTCTCTCTCTAAAATATGATAGTTGATCTCCAAAACATAAAATTTGGTATAGTTTCTCTTTCTAAAATTTTGAAATAGTTTATCTCTCTAAAAAAATTTGATGATCTCTCTCTCTAAAATTTTAAGATACTTTCTCTTTCTAAAAGTTAAAATTTGATATAGTTTCTCTATCTAAAAATTTTAAGATAGTTTTTCTCTTTAAAAAAATTTAGGTACTTTCTCTCTCTAAAATTTTCATACCTACCAAATGTTCCCTATTTTTCGGGTTGAGGGAGGAAATGAGTGAAATCTATGGGTCTTGAAAATTGAAAAAAACAGCTTTTGGTGTGGAAATAAAATCATGGAAAAGTAAGTCTTATTTCCATGATTTTGATTTTCTTGATTTTAAGTATCCTAGTCATTACGCAATTCATACGGAAGACTTTGGCAATATCCAAAATATTAGAAATCCATGTCTTAAAATCCATGTACCCAAACGCAAACAGGCCTTAAGATAATGTGCCAAAAAAACTATCTCACAATGCTGAGCATGCAACTCCATAATCCTAGCTTCGTATGTTTTTTAGAAAACTCAAGTAATGAAGCAAATAAAGAACTATAACTTTGTTGTATAACTTAGCTGTCATAATGGATTTGCAACAAAGTGTTAATGCTTGAATGACGGAGAGGAAATGCAACGAAGGAGGGGGAATGAGACTTCATGGGGTTGCCTGCAATTGCCTTCTTTTTTAACACTATTCACTCTGATGGAGCAAGATGAACAAATGGATAAGCTAGGGTGATGGGTTCCACCTTGGAGGGCCTCTATAACTCTATATTGTGTTATACTCATATGAGAGAAGTTCGGGTTAATAATCTTATATAGATGGTTCAAGTATGAATTTTAACCTATATTGAACATAGTCATCAAATTAGTTATTCAAAGGTTGAGAAAAGCTTTGATATGTAAGATGGGTGAGATTCTATAATTACCTATAAATTTCTCTTATTCTCATTCTATCCTTGGAAACCCTAATGAGTGGGGTATCCCACCCCTCTTTCTATCTTTAAAAGTTTTTCAAAACGTCACATTTTCTCTCACTAAACGAATAGTCGCTTCACAAGTACACATGATAGCATAGTGTGTTAGAATATGTGATCAATAAGCTAATAGGAAATCAACAAACACTCAAAGTACATTTGACCTTGAGAAAGCAAGCGGTTGGTAATTTCTAAAATGTAATTAATATTTAGAAAATAGATTTTTTACACTCACACATGCTCCATAAAATCCCTAATTGGTAAGATACACTTATCCACTACTACTGTCCACATCATGCCCAAATGGCGGTGTTGTAGTAGTTTGTGTGGGGCCAACAAAGTAGCACATATTGTCCATTTCTGTGCCACCTTCATAAGGGTGATCCTTTAATGGAATGCCATGCGACCAAATTTTAAAAGCCAGTTTTGCTCAAAATAAAATTATAAAAGTTCATAATCATTTATTATTATTTATTATTATTTATTGTAATATCTCAATCTGGCATCAAAAGAAATAATTCAGTTAGGGAAATTAAGAATCTTGAGGAGGTAAGGATCTATGGTGTAAAATCGGGATAACCCAATCACTCCTTTTTGAGTAAATCGGGATACCTCAAATCCCACTAGATGTAGTAAGCACTACACCACAATAATTTCAACACTCAAATAACATGCTCAAGATGCAATAACAAGTGCAATATAATGGGAAAAAAATATAAAAACAATAAAACATGCAATATGAGAAATCTTCAAAACACAACACAAATTAAAGTAGAGATGGATACGCACATATATGTGGTTCATCCAAGATGGGCTACGTCTTCAGGCAAGACAGATAGAGAGAGTTTAGTCGCATATGAGGTAACCATGGAGAGGCCGTAATCTAATAATTTTGATCTCCGACAGAGAGAGATGTGGTTTATGCCACACCCTACTCTACTCTAGAGAGAGTGATTTAGTCTATGGTGTGGCAGATGTCCTGAAACACGGCCATGTTAGAGTCGAATAGAGAGAGATAGAGATCTATACCCCCCTTCCCATGCATCGCCGGAACAATGACAACCACCCCTTCCAAAGGAAAGAAAGAGGGCATAAACACATGGGGTCCCCCACTCCCAAAATCCATTTCACTAAGGGGGAGCCTAAGCCAACTATTGGCCTCCAAATTAGGGCAGTACACCGTCGACTCCACCTCGGCCGTGGAGACCAACTCACTCCAACACCCCTCTCTCTCTACGCGCGTGTCAAAGTCCACAAAGGACCTCACGTAACTATCATTCACTCGGGCAATCGCCGCGGCCACCACCTCCGCCACGTGCTCGAGTGGCTGGCTCAGTAGCTCTCGCACCGTGGCTCGAGGAAAGGCCCACAAAACCATGTTGCCAAAGTAGCCCTGGGCAACAGGAGGCACGAGGCGGGCGCGCACGTTGACGGAGATGCGCACCTGGCTTGTCTCCTCTTCTCCCACGCCTCGCGCGCGTGTCACCTTACGCCAAACATGCGAGATGAGGCTTTCGAACGTGCTATATCCGCGACCGCTTGGACAACGCACCGACGCTCTGGCCTTGAGCCTGGCTAAGAAGTCCGAAGAAAAGTGGAACTTTTCCAATCTAATCTGGCTCGCCATTTTCTCCCATGGAACCTCCTTTACGAGCCTCTTCTCCATGTATTCGTTGCCTAAGTGGTCGAACTCGACTGCAAGTTGATCGCGTGGCTTGACCATGGCTCGGTCGTGGGTTGGAACGGGGTGCATCATGAGGCCACGCGTGGCTTGGCCCCAGGCCAGGAGGAAATTGCCTGTGGCCTCTCCATCGGCTATCAAGTGATTGGCCGTGTAGCCAACTACGAGGGAGCCACAGGTAAAGCGGGTGAGCTGGACTTGCATTAACTCCTCGATGCCTTTGATGTTTGGGTGAAGGTCCCAAAGTTGAGGGGTTGATTTGAAGGGACTGGCCTCGTCTAATGTGCATGAGGCCGTGGCCTCCATGAAGCGCACCCCTTTGTCATTGAGGACAATGGATCGTTCATCGTCGCTAAGACGGCCAGCCCACTCTCGATAGTCAGAGAGCGCCAGGCGAAGGCCACGCTCAATGGCGGAGTTAGGGGGTGTTGGAGCTTTGTAGGCATAGATTACAGAGATATGGGCGTTGCCAGCCGCTCGGTCAAAGGGGCTTAAGGGTATGGTGGTGGAGGTTGAAGGTGTAACGGGTTTGGCTTCATAGGAAGGGGTTACCAACCTCGAGCTCTGCTTTTCAATCTTCATCTCTCTCTCTCTCTCTCTCTCTCCACCTCTACTGGGATCTCTTCACACACTCTGGTCGCTCCGTCTTATCTCTTTCTCTCTCCCTCTCTCTCTCTAAAGGCTGGGTATAAGCTTCAAGGTGGGTGTTGTTCCCCTCTCTCTCTCCAGTCTGAACATAGCCCTCACGGTAGGTGCGGTCTCTGTCCCTTTGATGGACAAATATAGTGGAATCCAAGTGCTTTTAGGGGAGGCTTTATAGCAGAAATGGACAGTCCTCATGGGTGGTGGGCTAAGGCCACGTCTTTGTTGGCAAACCCGTCTTCTCTTTAAATTTTCTTTTGACTTTTTCCTTTAGGTTTGGTGGCGATGATTCCGCTGCGAGAAGACTTAGTTTCGTATGCATTTTTGTTTATGTGGGGAAGGTGGTTTGCAAGGTTTAGATGATGTGCCTTTCTGTTTTTTGTTTTTGTTTAGTCACTGTTCACATAGTAGCAATGGTCAACACCGTCGGCAATCCAGGCAAAGCACAAGGTCCTTATCGTTATGATATCGGTTTCAAATTTCAACAACGACAAAGGGGTAAAACCCATCGACATGAATGAAAGCCGAGGCAACTGCCAATCCAGGCAAGCACAATGTCCTTATCGTTATGATCTCGTTTTCAAATTTCAACAACGACAAGAGGTAAAACCAATCGACATAAATGAAAGCCGATAAAAGTTGGAGCATTTTTTATATTCTTTGCATGTGTAAAAGTTTTGCCACCAACCCACCGTCTAGTTGTGTTGGTGGGAGCGGGTTTGAAAATGGATCCAAATAGTTGCATCAAACCCTGCCCCTTTGGCTTTTCCCGCGACGGATCGGATCTAACCAGAGAAGACATTTGATATTGTCTAGAGCGCGGTTTTGAAAACCCTTGATCTGAATCAGGATCACCCGACTTAGATTAAGAATCAGTAGGCCCAGGTCTGATTCCCACCATTTATCAAGAACTAACAAATTCCCCTTAGGAGCTGACCTGTTGTAAAAAGGGACCGGCCGTTTTGGCCACTCCTTCTATTTCTTATTATTTTAAAAGTTTTTGTTTTTCTCAAATTTCATTTCATTTTTGTCTAATAATCTCAGACGAGATCGCCTATCCACCAATGTAGACCTATTTTTAAAATTAGTGATCCAGGTCATTTATATATCTTTAAACAATGGTTTAGAATATAGTTATCAAAAGTGGGACTCGGCTGACTAGTCGGACTACGAAAAGGTGTTTTGGACATTTGGTCTTAGCAAAAATAGATTTTGGATGAAAATTAATCAAAATTAATATTTGAATATCGCTACTTTAACTTGTTGAATAAATGAAAATATTATTTCTATTTTTTTATTTTATTAAAACTGGTTCAATGACGGACAACCGAATATATTCTGAATTGACCAGATCTCTCGTCGATAAGGTGGGTGATCCCATCTCTTCCTGAGAATCTGCTGCTGACATCAACATCAGGTCCCATAAATTTCCTCTCTCTATTATCCTAGTTTTGCTTTACCATTTTTTTTTTTTCTCACTCACTCAGCCCTAGTAAATCTCACCCCTCTCTCTAGCAAATCTCTCTATTATTGACTGTCACAAACGATCTCTTGCTTCAAACTTTGAACCACTTGTTTATGCATTGTTGCAAATTGCTTCAAGTTGCAAATCTCTCTACTATTGAACCTCTTGTTCATTCAGTTGCTTTATATTGAGGGTATTGAAAATACCCATGAAAAGTTTAGCCTTTTTATAGAGAGAGAGAAATTAAAGAGAGACTCTTTTGAATTAAGCTTACTTAGCCGATCCAAAAAAAAAAAAGAATATCGGCCGGTAATTATCAATATGTGTTTTGATATTGGACTAATAATTTTAATTGAAACTGTGGGTGCTAGCACCATTTGCACATGGCTTCTGGAAAAGGAGATGTATTAGCCATAAAACTTGATGAAAAAAGACTATCCCGAATATGAATCTGTAAGTTTGAATGTTATCACTAGTGCTTGTTTCCTTAAAAGCTTAAAGGAGATAAATGATAACAGGAAGGTGATGTAGTTTCTAATGAAGTTGACACCAGAATATGAGATCATTCAAGCTAATAATTTGAATCTCGAAATATTACCTAACATGGGTGATATTACACTCCATGTAGATGATGTCACACCATCCTAATAATAAAAATAACCTTACTAAAAGAAATTCTCTATGTACCAAACAAAGGTATATAAGTGTCGAAAATTTGTTGAATACAATTATAAAATAAAATGCTCTATAGTGTGAACACCCTAACACAAAATTAGAATTATTACTTTATATTTTGTAATTATTTTACTACACAGATAAAAATAAATTTAATCTGTCTTGTAATATCATCTAATTTTTTTTAAAAAAAATCTTCTGTTCAACTATAACAATAAATAATACATTATGTAATTTAAATATAAATAATTTAATAAATAAAATACAGCTGAATTTGTAATCATATTTTAATAAAAATAAAAATCAAATAAATAAATTTGTGTGCATGAGTTATTGTTATTTACCTCGAAACAATTTTTTTTTAGCAATTTGACTATGTTTCATTATGTACCTCAAAATTTATTTTTCTATCCACCTTATTTAATCTTCTACCTAGCCTATTTAATCACATGTATATTTATTTACCTCAAAATTTATCCCTATTTAATCACCCTTAGACCACCCAATTTAATCACTTGTCGACCGATTAAGCAAAAATAAGTGCCAAAAGTGCCGCTGAACAAAAAAAAAATGGGTGCGGTTTGTATAGAGCTTAGGCTCTAAACAATGAAATTAGAGCCTACCGTCAAATACTGTCGAGAAATGTGGTTTCAATACTGGAAATTCGTATGATAGCTTTGAAATAAAATTTCATCTTTATTTATAAATTTTAGAGCTTTAAAAATAATGTAGATTGACTGATCTATGAAAACTAGAAAATATTGAAAATCAACGGTACAAAAATGCGTTACAAAATACACTACTTTCAAATTTTGAAATTCATTTTTTCTCATGTCCATGCATCTAGATGTTAAGATGATCAATTTGAAGATTTTTTAACATCAAAACATCCTCTTCTAGTAAAATTTTTTAGGTAGGCTCTAATTTGATTGTTTAGAGCCTTGGCTCTATATAAACTTTTTCCAAAACAAATTCATAAATATTCCTCAAAAAAATGGTAAATGTTTCTCATTCAAAATGTATTCTTCTGCGTACCCTATTTAATCACCATTAGACCCAAGTGGGTGATTAAATGCTCCAATGGAGCACACTGGTGATGTTTAATGTTCTATGTGGGTAATGCATACCCCTCTTAATGACCAAAAATACTCATGCTAAGAAAATTACTCCCTATACAAAGCAAGGGTATATAAGTTTTCAAAATTTGTTGAGTACAATTATAAAATGCTCTATAGTGCGAGCACCCCGATATAACTCTATAATTAATTACTATACCGACATCCAGACATGAAAACAACATCTCCATATTTACGTATTTTTATAAAATAACAAAAGTACATAATATAAGATCCCCAAACTTATTTCAAAACTCATTCATAAAATAACAAAAGTACATAATATAACATCCCCAAACTTTTTTCGAAACTCAAAAACACTCTTTTCAAGGATTTTTAGTGATTTTTTAAACAAATTTTGAAGCCGAAACATTCTAATTCTCCGATCCAGAATGCCGATCCACTGATCCAACATGATTTTTGAAGTGGCCAATCGATGTCACCGCTCGGTTTTTTTAAACCTTGGTGTGACGGATTTAAAACAAAAAAAATTGAGTAGAAAAGTTAAAGTATTGCAAAATGATAAAAAAAAAAAAAAAAGGTATAGACTTTGTTCCTATCGCACTTGCCACATATCTTGAAAATGCATTTCACATTATTTCAGAATCTAGAAAAGGACGATATTGTAAGACAGAAGAATGGCATCAGGCTATTAGCTCTTAAATATTGTAAGAGAAAATAACTGTTGACTATTGTACAATTGGTGCATTTAACTACCAATAAAATGGCCATCAATTAGTCTGTCATTTTTTATAAACCACTTAATGGAGATAGATTGCCCAAGGCCTTGAGAGGAAACTGAACCGAAAATCATGAGGCAAAAGTTAGAAGCAAACTGCAAGTTCAACTCCTCCCCGGGTCGATTCTCATACTCATATTCACAAGAAATATGTTAGGTAGGCGTGGTAGAGGGTTAGGAAAGGAAGGCAAGGGGCATCTTATTGTCAAGGTCCTTTTTATAAAAGGAAAATGTATAATCCAGCATCGTTTGTATCGGTCGCATAAAATTTGTAGTTTGCATAAGATTTTGGCCTGTATTCGAGGGCGGGAGGTTCGATTTTAGTACACTGCTTTAGACAAAAAAAAATAAAAATATATATTTATGAATCAGGGAGTGGCTCTAAATTAATCCTCTAGTCTATGGATTGGCAAATCCTTTGAAATGCGGCCTTGTTCGCCTCGAAGAGAGAGAGATAAACCTCAATGCCACCTTTCTCGTGAGCCGAAGGCACAATGACCATTACACCCTCCAATGGAAAGCAAGAGGGCATGAAAAGATCAGGCCCTCCACTCCCAAAATCCACGTCCTGAAATGGCAACCTCAACCAACTATTCACCTCCATATTTGGGCAAAAGACAGTGGAGTCCACCTCGGCCGTGGGGACCAACTCATTCCAGAGCCCCTCTATCTCTACGCACGTGTCAAAGTCCACAAAGGACCTCACGTACCTATCGTTCACTTGAGCAATGGCAGCGCGCACCCACTCCGCCACATGGTTCAGGGGCTCGCCTAAAAGGTCCCGAACCGTGACTCGTGGAAAGGCCCAGAGGACCATGTTGCCGAAGTACTCGTGGGGAATAGGCGGGACGAGGCGCCCACGCACGTTAACTGGGATGCGCAATTGGCTGGTCTCCGTCGCAGGCACACCCCGCGCGCGAGTCACCTTTCGCCAAAGGTGCGCCACCAGGCACTCGAAGGTGCTGTAGCCGCGGCCTGGGAGACAACGCACTGATACTCGCGCCTTGAGCTTGGCCAAGAAGTCAGGTGAAAAGTGGGCCTTGTGTAGTCTAACGTCACTAACCATTTTCTCCCATGGAACGTCCTTCACGAGAGTCTTCCCCATGTATTCATTGCCCGAGTGGTCGAACTCGATGGAGAGTGGATCGCGTGGCTTGAGCATGACCCGGTCGTGTATTGCTACCGGGTAGTCCGATAGGCCACGCGTGGCTTGCCCCCAGGCCGCAAGGAACCTGCCGGTGGCCTCGCCATCGGCTACCAGGTGATTGGTCGTGTACCCTATGACGAGGGAGCCACAAGTGAAGCGAGTGAGCTGGACTTGCATTAACTCCTCAATACCTTTCATGCTTGGGTGAAGGGCCCAGAGCTGGCGGGTCGATTTAAAGGGAGTGGCCTCTTCTAGTGTGCAAGAGGCAGTGGCCTCGACGAAGCGCACGCCTTTGTCGTTGAGGACAATGGCTCGTCGATCATCTGTGAGTCGACCAGCCCACTCGCGATAATCGGCAAGGACAAGGCGTAGGCCAATTTCAAGGGCAGAGTTTGGGGGGGTCGGGGCTTTGTAGGCATAGATTATGGCCATGTGAGCGTTGCCCGCAGCTCGATCAAAGGGGCTTAGCGGGACGGTGGTGGTGGAGGTGGAGAGGTAGGAATAGGATTTGGTTTCGTAGGATGGGGTGACTAGCCTCGAGCTTTGTTTTTGGATCTTCATTCTCTCTCTCTCTCTTCAAGAGTAAGTATTTGAACCTCGGAGTGCACTTACAATCGTCAGCACCTCAACCCAAAATTGGTAAGTATTTAAGAACTAATTCCACAATGTTTGTACAAAAATGATTACTCTCTCCACTGCAATTATACTGCAACTTTCTCTCTCTGTCTGGAAATAAATTCCATGATGCGTATGATTATGATGGAGTGCAAGTGCTTTTGGGGGAGGTTTTATAAGGAGGGTGAGGTAGTAGTCATAAGGGACGGTAAGAAAAGGCCATGTGTCTCGTGAGAGTAAACCTGATCTTTGCGTACTCGTTGGTTGTCGTTAAAGTTCGGTAGCCAGATTGTGACACGAGAAGACTTATTTCCCTGTGTTTTTTCGGTTCATGCGGAACAGTTTGTATACATGGAGTGTGCGTCCCACCTTTGCGTTCCCATTATCGTATATTATTTGAACAAAGTCAACATGATAAGAACCATGATATAAGGATTACAGGAAATAAAACTTAATTAATTCGATTAATTTGAATTTCTTAAGAGGTAGATGAGGCATTTGACCATGACATTGTAAATATATTGCCAGTTGCCAATGGCCACGTTCTCTTACGAAACCCTTTTTTTTTTTTTTGGCTTGATGAAGAAGTGACGCATGAAATGACCTGAACACCATCCTTTGAATTAAAAAAAGGTCGTGCGGTATCAATAAAGCCAAGCCTCTATCCAATCAAGGTAAAGCGCACTTTCAAATAGCGTCGACAAATTGAAATTTAAAGCTTCCAATAAATCTATAAAAAATTAAAAATTTTAAAAATTGATGGTTCAAAGAAATACGTTACATGATGCACTATTTCAAAAACTTGAAATCCATTATTTTTTCATGTCCATATATCTTGATGTTGAGATGATTAATTTGAAGATATTTGAGAATGAAAACAACCTCTTCTAGTAAAATTTTTGAGGTGGGCTCTAATTTGATTTGATAGAACCTCCGCTCTGTATAAGTTTTTTTCTTAAAAAAAAAAGTGTGGTATGTTTAGAGCCAAGGCTCTAAACAATCAAATAAAACACACCTTCAAATAGTGGCAAGAAATGTAGTTTCAATATTGAAAATTGTTGTGATAGCCTTAAAATATATTTTCATCTTTGATTATAAAATTTAAAGCTTCAACCTTAGTGCAGATCGTGCAGATACATGGAAACATGAAAATCTTGAAAATTGACGGTCCAAAAATACGCACGATGCACTATTTCCAAAACTTAGAAATCTATTGTTTTCTCATGTCCATGCATCTTAACGTCGAGATGATCAATTTGGGGATATTTGACCATCAAAACAACATCTTCTACTGAAATTTTTAAGGTGGGCTCTAAGCAACTTCGAGCCTCGGCCCTATATAAATTGTTAGAAATCTTTGCAACACCTTGTTGATATGTACTTGTAGTTTTGATTACTGAATTTAAAATTTGAAGCTCCAAAAATATAGTACGTTTGGTGTAATTTATGAATACTTGGGAGCAATAGACAATCTAGTACGTTTTAAAATATGCATTTTTTTTTCATGTTAAAAAAAAAAAATGCATTTTTTATTGTTTGAAATTAATTTTTTGTACCAAAAATAAATGGTCTCATAATATACGATTCCTTTTTCATATCTATAGCTTTTGAGATTGCGATGATTTGTTTGAGGATTTCCCACTTCTATTGCAAGATGGCGTACTGCAGTACAATTAGTAGCCCCTGCACTAACATTTTTCTATAAAAATGGAGGAAGTTATCAATAGTGTTGTTCATCGAAAGAAAACTTTTACTCGAATATGTTTGTGAACTTCCCTTGATATTTTTCTCTATTCCACCTCGGCCTCTGAAATAACAAAATCCAGCAAAACTTGTGAAAAATAGAATGTCTTTTGTGGGCTAGAGAGATAGAGAGTATAGTTTAGCGGCATACCCAGACAGATGTGCGACAATATAAGGTCGTGCCCTTATGAAATATTTGTCTTTATTATTTACATGAAAGGATTATTCACATGCATAAGGGAACACAGCAAATGGAACTGTCGCTTGACATCTACAGCGTTCATTTAGAGGAGATAGTGCTTGATTGCTCCCAAATCTCAATTTTTTAGCAAAATCAGCACCATCGATTCAAAGTGAACAATAAAGATGTCAAGGGATGCACTCAACAGCTATGGTGCATGTCATGGGATTCAATCCAACAGCATCGTCCCTCGACACACTAAAACCAGGCCGTACCAGTTGAGTCCAACTTGCTGATGTGGGAAGTTTGCTCAGTGGTTCATAGTGAGAGAAAAGTGAAATTTGGGGATGAAGAAATGGAAAATCAAAATTTTGATTTCATCTAATGGGAGCTATAAATGAAAATCAAAAACATTAAAAAAAAAAAAGAAAAAAAAAAAAGATGTCTATTAAAATCACAAATCGAGCTCAAGATGATAAGAAAACCCAATTGTTCATCTTTTGATTTCTTTCAATAGGAGCCATAGATCCATGAAAAACATTTAGAACCTACAAAGTAATTGAAAAGATGAAAAATCTGTTTTCTTAAAAGAAAATAGATCAAAAAACAAATGAGTATAAAAGAAAATAGTGGGAAAAATTAAATATTAATTTTAATGATCTTTGTTTTGGTTCGGAAAATTATGCTAAAAACATTTTGGGACAAATTTGTCAGAACTTCATGAATTAAAGAAAATTGAATATTTTTATTTCGATTAGTATAAAAGAAAGGGAAATGACCTTGTGAGATCCTCCCACACCTGGACCCGATTTCTATCAAGTCCAAGTCATTTGGACTCGAATCCAGTTCGGGTCGAGCCGCCAATTAAGTCAACTTGACTTGATTGCCACTCCTAGATTGGAACCTCTTAAATTTGTTTAGCACGGCGATATTTCTTGATCTATAGTGTGTGGGTTTCCCTTGAAACACCCTTCTCACTCTCTCTACCTCTCTCTCTCTCATTCAACCCTGTTAAACAACGCTGAAGCCGTTTTCTTCCAAAAAGATTTCATATGTCAAGGGACACACTTCTACAGCAGCGTCTTGATGCATTAAACATTCATTGCTTCCACAGTAGCATCCTGATGCATTAAGCATCCATCTTGCAAATGGATGTTAAAAATGGTGGTCTCACCAAATAATAAACTGACGACGTTAAAATGATATAAAAGTTAGTATTATTTACTTTTAGAATTCATTTTCTTAGATTTATGCTCATTTTTAATACTAAATTCATTTTTAATACTAAATTTTTAGATCTAAAGTCCATCTCTAAAAATAGACTTTTGAGAGAACTCATTTAAATAGATGAGTTGGTAGACTCCTAAAAACCTTACCCTTTATCTCCATGAAAAGTCCGTGATGATTGATCCATGCATAACAGTAATTGGTAGGTAGCACGTTAGGACACTCTCTCTCTGATCCATGCATAACAGTAATTGGTAGGTAGCACGTTAGGACATTCTCTCTCTCTCTCTCTCTCTCTCTCACCGCGTCACAACTCACAACTATCAGTTTTCATTAGACAATGACATAACCCTATAATTTAATCTTAATACAATAACATAAATTGAGTGGACATTTGAAGGAGGCATCAACGGTACGCGGATGATTAAATACGTCAATTAGACTATGGTTTTCTTCACAAATTTAATATTGGTTACCAAATCCTTTTGACCTTGGACTTAATCAACTCTATATGCTTTGTAATTACCCCCCAAAAAAAAACTCCCTATGCTTTGCAACTTCCTAGAGTTAGGCGTCTTACTTCTTGAGAACTCCTCACCCGTATGCATGATATTTCCTAGCATCATAAGTGCAAAGGAAAGATAAAGTTATAAAAGGATAAAGAGGGCTAGGGCTAGGGTTAGGGTCGGGGCTTCTTCGGAGCTATCAGGAATGGGGTGGGCTAGGCCCAGCCTTGTAAAGCCTAGAGCTGGCCCAGCCAGTTTCCAACCCCATTCACAGGTAGGATGACAGAAAAAAATATACCTAAAATTTTAAGGGAAATAACTTGTGATGGAGTTGCTTGCTTGAAGTAGTTATGCAACACATGAAGTTTGTAAAATCTCATGGTACCAGTTCTCTTTTACCTTGGGTACCCCAATGGCTAAATTGGCTATTACATGTGGTTAAGGATTTATGAGGAGTCCTGATGGACCACTATTCAACAGCAGAAGTAGTTTTTTTAATTAAATATTCATTTATGGATGTTTGGCTACTTGAGTATATAAACCTAGGTTTTGAATCAATAACCTGATTAGGCCAAACCTTGATTATACCCAAACTTGGATATTGGGACAAGACCATTAGGATAGCTTCTGAATGGCCCCCAGGTTATGGAAATCCCATACTTAATCTATTTGTATAACCCGGGTGGCCGGATATGAAGATTTATTATTTAATATTATTTACATAATATATTATCATATATTATTATGGAAATAATACTAATAATAATAAAATTATTATTATTATAAATAATAAATAACATCATCATTATTATGATGATCATATATATTATTATGAGGCATTTTATTATGGACCCGGTTTCTATGCGGCCAAGCCCGCATATGTAGAAATGTGGGCCTCTTAATTAATCTATTTTTTAGATGGATTTTAAGACTTAGTTTTTAAAGATATGTAATCTTTAACATTGAGATCATGAATATGAAAAAATAAATAAATTTAAAAAACGAAAAATAATTATTCTAGTAAAAAAACATTTGGACCGTTAGTTTCTATTATTTTTAGATGAAACACCTACTTGCATCCATCTTTAAATAGATGCTTTATATTATCTAGACTGCATATGTAGAAATACGGTCCAGCCTGCATGAAACAATTTTCCTTTTATTATAGGGTGTGATTTGGATGGGGCCGAAGCTCTAAACAATCAAAGTAAAGTGAAACTTCAAATAGTGTCCAAAAATGTTGTTTCAATACTAGAAATCTTTGTGATTGCCTAAAAATTTATGTTCATATTTAATTATAAAATTTAGTACTTCGAAAGTAGTGTAGATCGAGCAGATCTACAAACACTTGAAAATCTTGAAAATTGACGGTCCGCAAATGCATTACAAGATACACTATTTCTAAGACTTAGAAATCCATTTTTCCTCATGCCCATACATCTTGAGGTCGAGATGATCAATTTGAGGATTTTTAGGCTTCAAAAAAACCTATTTTAGTGGATTTTTAAGGTACTCCCTAAATTGATTGTTTAGAGCCTCATGCTTATATAAACTTTTTCTTTTATTTTAATGGGGTATGTTAGGGTTTAGGGTTATGAATAACATAAACCTATTTTAATATATGTGATTATTATTTTTGTAATAATTCTATTAATTTTTTGTTATTAGAATATTACATCAATATGCTTATAATATTGTATTATTCTTATACTATTCTATATTATGTTAATATTTAACAATATTATTGATCTATTATTATATATCAAGTAATTTATCAAAAAATTAGTATTGATAATTAACAATATTGAGTTTCATTATTTAGTCGATTGGAGTGGGTAGGTGTAGGTGTAGGTGTGGGTGTGCGTGGTCTTGTGAAAATAATAATAAAAGAGAGAGAGAGAGAG